GAAAGGGCACCGGGCGAGCCCGCGCCGCGTCGCACGGAGCGCTCCCCCGAACTCACCGGGCGCCCCGCGGCGGCCTCCACCGGCGGCAAACCCCCGCCCGCCACCTCGCCCAGCAGCCGAGCCGAGTCGAGCCGAGCCGCCGTAGGACCTACTTCCCTTCTCGAGACGTACGCCGCCCCCCCGGCGCGACACGTGACGCGAGCCTACTTCCGCCGCGCGCGGCCTCCGGGGACTCGTAGCGCGTCCCCCCTCACCTCCCTCCCTCGAGCTCGCCGGAAGTTGTTGCTGCTGACTTCCGGTTCCTTCCACAGAGGACGTCGCTTGCGGGCAGCCGGGTTGCTGCCGTGCCGGCCGGAAGTAGCGCGGCGGTGGCGGGCGGCCGGCGCAGCCATGCCGCGGTATTACGAGGACAAGCCGGAGGGCGGCGCGTGCGCGGGCGTGAAGGAGGACCTGGGCGCCTGCCTGCTGCAGTCCCACTGTGTGCTCCAGGTAGCGCGCGGGCGCCTCGGCGGCTGTCGGCGGGGTCGGAGAGGAGGGCCCCCCCCGGCGGTCAGCGCACCTGACCGGGTGACGGGGGCTGGGTGCGCACGGCAGCCCCGACGTAATCAGCTTGAACGTATTCGCTGTGGGAGCCTCGGGTCCCTCCGGTTTTAAGTGGGAGATCACGACGCCGCCCCGTTGGATTTTTGTGAAGATTAAGCCATTTCGGTTAAATAAACATTGATTGAATGCTGCCTTTTCCACATACAGAGGGCAGTCGGTGGTGTGCAACTGGAGATACAGTTTCAGAAAGGTGCTGTTATTGAGAGATAACTATCCCCAAATGGTCCTGACCATGAGGCTTTGTCGGTGCTTCTGGTCCTGGTTTACGGTTGGTTTCCTAGTTTCAGCAGCCGGCCGACTGTAGGTCTAAGCGGTTATGGACCTGAGAGGGTACCTAGCCCAGCTTCCCGGTGCCCACGAGGCCCGCGAGGCCCGCGAGGACTCGGGGGCCACCAACATCCCCTGCCGGCTGCGTCCGGGCTGCGCCTCCCGCGCAAACGCCCCTTCAGCCCCTGAAATGCCTGCGCAGCGGCTGTAGGAGGCCGGGCACAGCCTGGTCTGAAGGGAAGGACAGGCTGTGAGGAGCCAGATTCCTGCGCGAAACGCCCTGTGAGCACTGACGTAATGAGAAGCTTTAAGAGCAGAATTCCTTGGGAGCCCAGTGCAGAGCGCCTTATTTTATCAGAGTGCACACCCCCCACTGGGGATGTGCCTGCAACCAACATGCCCTTGACCGGAATCGAACCTGGGACCCATCAGTCCGCGCAGGCCGCTGCTCCATCCACTGAGCCAAACCGGTCAGGGCCAAGCTGGGTTGTGTTTTTGCAGTGATTGAATTTATTTAGCAAACTTTTGAGTGCCACGCTCCAGTACAGGGGCGCCCGGATGAATGGGACACGTTCTCTCCTGTGCAGAAACGGCACCTCTGGAAATGAGAGAGCGGGGCCAGGACACGGGGCACAGGCTGTGCGGTCCCCTGTTGGTAGTGGCCTTATTGACGCTGAACTGGGTCACCGAGGAGAACCGGATGCTCATATGCAGCCCCATAAAGGGAAGGGCATGTACAGTTTGTGGTAAATTCATCCTGAGCGGTGACTTCAGCTGGAGTGTAAAAGGCAGTACCGAGGCAGAACAGTGTGTTTTGCAGATCCAGGAAAACAGTCTGACTTTGGTGGTTTGGGTGAGTGGTGGGATTCGGGTATCAAATCTGCCTGAGGGGAAATCGCTGATTACGCAGAGCAGGTGAAATTTGGGTTAATTTTTCCTGATGCACGAATGCACCAGGTGATTCTCTAAGTAGTAAGTACTTCTTCGTCTTCATTAACATCTATCTAAAGTGTTTCGTAATAACACTAACATTGTTCTGATTTTAGAGCACCTTACTTCTGGCTGTTTGAGCTTTTACAGTAACACTGAACCGGGTCATTTTTATCCTCGGAATTGCTTGACTCATTTTACATTGGGAACTCACTTTGAGTAAGAAGATATAATGATCTTCCTTTATATTGCCAAGCACTGCATAAGGCTGGTGTTTATAAGCAGTATATGTTCTTTTATTAATATTTCTTTAATAGTAAAATAATGTAAGATTTTGATTTTTCCCCTCATGAATTGCAAATCATAGCTTGATGTCATTAAACCTCATATAATTCAAAAAATTCAAGTTCAGTCTTTTTCCAGATGTTTTATATATTTACTAGAGGCCTGGTACACGAAATTCATGCACTGGGGGGGTTTAATCCTTCAGCTTGGCCTGCGCCCTCTCGCAGTCTGGGAGCCCTCGGGGGGATGTCCGACTGCCATGGAGGCGAGAGAGGCTCCCGCCACCGCCACTGCGCTGACCAGCCTTGAGCCCAGCTTTTGGCTGAGCGGTGCTCCCCCTGTGGAAACGCACCGACCACCATGGGGCAGCTCCTGCGTAGAGCGTCTGCCCCCTGCTGGTCAGTGTGCATCATAGCAACCAGTGGTTCTGCCATTCGGTTGATTGGCTTATTAGCCTTTTATTATATAGGATATTCCTGGGAAACTGAACCCCTCTGGCAGGCACTTCCCCCTGCTTTGTGATGTGCTCACACTGCCAGTTAGCCTTTGAGTGTGTACATCTTCTTTTCTACCTGGTATTATTGTGTAGGCAGGAATTTCTAGTATTCATTTTTTAACTTCCCACAGACTGTTTTGATTTTTTTCCCTCTCTTTCTTTTTTCTTTTTTTTTACTAAATTAGTCCTCGTGAGGGCTTAGTTACTAGACAAATTAGTAGGATAGGGCATTCAAAAAGAAATTTTGCTGCAATTAAATTTTAATCTTGCCTTTTTGAATTGTGAAATGTGTCCAATATATTTAAGTGCCTTTGTGTTAAATTTACAGCAGATTTATTTAAATATTTTAAGATAATGTAGAGGTAGTAGTAGGGTTTTTATTCCATGCTTATCTTAAAAGAAAAATACTACTTACCTAGTTTGCAGTTGTTACCTTGTCAAAGTGGATTTTTAATAGAGCTTGAAAAAAAATGTCTTTTTATTAAGAGTCAGAAGTAAGCATTTCTCTTGTGAACATTCTTGTAACAGCATCATGTCTTTGATGGCAAAAATGGAATGATGACTTAACCCAGTTTTCTTTGTAACCTCCTTTGGAGCTTTCACTGTTTAAAGAGGAGTAGTTTCACATCAGGCTTAGGCAGATCTTCTCTCACAAGTACATGTCAATTCTGCTCATAGCTCCCTTTCCTCTTGGAATTTTTACTCAGTTGAGCTTCTCAGAATAGAGAACTTGGCTGTGGGGGGCAGGAGGCGGGAAAATGCAGAGATGTGTTGGTGGCATCAAAAATTGCTTGCATCAAAAGATACAAGTGGTGACTTTAAAGCCACTTGGCACTACCTTCCAGAACAAGCCCTCCCGTTCACCAGATGCCTGATCTCTCACATGTGTGTTCTCTCTCTCTGTTGTACACACAACTTTCTTGTGTTAGTTCTTCTTAGTTTTAAGATCAATGAAGAAACCATTACTCCTTTCACTTTTACTCTTTACTTTTCTTATCCATAAGGAGCTGGAGATAACAGTTTCTAGATTTTTATATAAACACTAGAGGCCCGGTGCACAAAAATTTGTGCACTTAGGTGGGGGGGAGTCCCTCAGCCCGGCCTCTGCCCTCTCACAGTCTGGAACCCCTCGGGAGATAACGCCCTGCTGGCTTAGGCCTGCTCCCCGGTGGCAGAGGGCAGGCCCAATCCCTAGGTGCAGCCCCTGGTCAGGCTCAGAGCAGGGCTGATTGGGGAGTTGGCGTGCCGCCCCCTGTCATGCACAGAGCAGGGCCAATCAGGGGGTTGGGGCGTTGCCCCGTCACGCACAGAGCAGGGCCCGTCAAGGGGTTGGGGAGCTCCCCCCCGTCACTCACAGAGTAGGGCCAATAGGGGAGTTGGGGCATCGCCCCGTCACACAGAGCAGGACGGATCAGGGGGTTGGGGCGCCGCTCTCTGTCACACTCAGGGCAGGGCCGATGGGGAGGTTATGGCTCTACCCCATCACACACAGAGCAGGGCCCATGGGGGGTGGTTGGGGCGTTACCCTCTATCCCCCACAGAGCAGGGCCAATCGGGGTTGGGGCACCTTCCCGTCACGAACAGAGCAGGGCGGATAGGGCGGTTGTGGCCCCGTCCCCTGTCACACACAGAGCCGCAGGGCTATCAGGGGGTTTGGGCGCTGCCCCGTCACGCTGATCCCGGTGCCGGGAGGCCTTGTGACTCCACTGATTCCAGTGCTGGGAGGCATATTTTTTACTCTATAGGATTGAGGCCTGGTGCACGGGTGAGGGCTGGCTAGTTTGCCCTAAAGGGTGTCCTGGATCAGGGTGTGGGTCCCCACTGGGGTGCCTGGCCAGTCTGGGTGAGGGGCTGAGGGCTGTTTTCAGGCTGGCGGGGGACTGAAGCTCCCAACTGCTCCTTTTTTTCTTTTTTCTTTTTTTATTCTGGGCCAGCTTTAGCTCTGAGGCTTGGCTCCATCTCTTAGGCCTCCGCTGCTGAAAGCAGGTATCTGGTTTGTTTTGGTTCTATAATCAAAACACTGTTTCAACTCCAGCTCTGAGATCCCGGCTGGCTGAAAGTAGGTTTCTGGGGTTTTGTTTAGCTTCTGTGTGTAACAATGTTTCAAACTGCAAGCTCAGAGGCCTGCAGCGGCAGGAGGGGAATACTGGAATCCTCTGTCACTGAAGCCAGCAAGCCTCATGTTCGCTTCCAGCTGCCTGGCTGCCATATTGGCTGGCAGTTAATTTGCATATCACCTTGATTAGCCAATGGGAAGAGTAGCAGATGTACGGCTAATTACCATGTTTCTCTTTTATTAGATAGGATTTTAAAGAAAAGTATCCTATGGAAACCAGTGTTTTCAAGACCTCAAGAGCCCCCCTAAGTGCCCAGAATTAGTTTACACATTTTTTAAAAAAATTCTGGCCTTTTCTCTTTTAAGTAACAATAGTCAAAATGAATTATGAACTATCTCTTAGATAAATTACAATTTTCCTCATTTGCTTTTAAAAAAAGAACTGTTTTCAGAAGGGCCGTTATGCCGTTTCTGAGGAAATTTCCAGGTACTTATATTGTTTTATTTGTCACAGGAAGGAAAATCCCCTCGGCAGTGTCTGAAGGAAGGAAACTGCAGAGCTTTGAAAAATTCATTTTTTGAATGTAAAAGATCAATGGTAAGAAAAGATTCTTAAAAGCTTACGTTAAAAACTAGCTATGTAGAATTAAATATGTGAGTGACTTGTAATTAATAGGTGGTAGTGATGTTATTTGTAACTTGAGGGAGATAATGTTAGGTAGCTTCATGAAAACCCATAGCTGACTATTATTCTGCCACTATGCTAACCATAGCTGCTGACCTTTGTGAATTTCTGATGATGAAAATGAAGTCTTGGCAAGTATAATTTAAAGTTGTAATTCACTATTAGTCCTCCAAGAAAAGACTAATGTTACACCTAACTAATGCAACTTCAATTATACATGTTTGGCAAAAACCTGAAACAATTTAAATTGTGCTGGTAATTTTACTTAGTATTTCAAACAGTGAGTGTAGGACTCAGACCGAAGGTTAGATGGGAAGTTTGAATTATCTTTTGCTCATAGTACAAAGCATCTCATCATCCTGATTATGATTCCCATGTTTAAAAATTATTCATTTTTTGAAAATATGGCTCAGCTTCGTGTAGTGATCAGATGAAGAAATGGCTGTCTGTCCCACATTGGTTATGTTGGACTCATTAATAGAGTCTGTCTGTAAAATAATTCCTTCCTGTAGAATTTCTAGGGAGTGATATTGACAGCCTATGCAAATTTGCCTTATATACTCTTCACCTTCCTCCTCCTCCCCAAGAGGCTATACTGAGAGCCTTAATCCTGTCTGTCATCAAATGAGAAGGTAACTGAAGGTTTTTAATCCCCAAATGGCCATGTGTTACTTACATTTTTCAAGGCTCGTTCTTTTTTCAGTTGCTATTTATAGATTTCAGATACATTTGAGTATTAACCTAAACAAAACTTAAGTAGAAAATAGTTTGCTAGAACAACATATATTGAATTTAATTCAGAGAAAGAGGTCAATGTAATTTATAGTAAACTTGAGAAGAAAATCTATTGTGACCTTAAATGGAACTTGTTTTTAATGCCATCTTTAATATTTTGGGTTCTTTGTGGGGTTTTATGGTAGTTCTAACAATTGCCTTTAAAAAAAAATTTTAGTCTTTAATTGTTTTGTTTCTCCTTCATTCTATCTTTAGGTTTAATTTTTTCTTTTTCTAAAGCTTTAAGATAAACACTTAGCTCATTTATTTTTCAGTCGTTTTGCATATATGCATTTATATTAAACTAGAGGCCCAATGCATGAAATTCGTGCATGAGTAGGTCTTCCTTCCCCCAGTAGCCAGCACCAGCTTCCCTCTGGCACCCGGAACCCGAGCTTCCCTTGTAGCCCAGCTTTGTCCAGAAGGTTGTCCAGAAGGACATCCAGCCTAATTAGCATATTACACTTTTATTATTATAGATGTCCGGAATAGACAAATCTATAGCAACAGAAAGATTAATAGTTGTTAGTGCAGGTGAAGGGGGAAGAAGGATTAGGAAAGAATGGGAAGAGATTTCAGTGATGGTTGAGTATGCTAAAAACTTTTGAATTGTACATTTAAAATGAATCCTTTGGCCCTAACCAGTTTGGCTCAGTGGATAGAGCTTCGGCCTGCGGACTCAAGGGTCCCAGGTTCGATTCCGGTCAAGGGCATGTACCTTGGTTGCGGGCACATCCCCAGTGGGGAGTGTGCAGGAAGCAGCTGATCGATGTTTCCCTCTCATTGATGTTTCTAGCTCTCTATCCCTCTCTCTTCCTCTCTGTAAAAAATCAATAAAACATATTTAAAAAAAATAAATAAAATGAATCCTTTGTATTGTTGGCAGGAAATGGCACCAGGCGTTAGAGCAGTGGAGTTCAGCAACCTTGGTACATGAGTTCTGGCTAAGAAAGAATTCAGATCCAAGACTCAAATTATAAGAGTTTATTTAGAAAGTCACAGAGCTAGAAGTGAGCCATAGAAGGAATGGGCTCAGGAAAGGAGATACAGAGGCAAAAGAACTCTTGGATCATAGGAGAAAGAGAGAGGCCAGGAAAATGCCTGGGGGAAAGGAGTGGGGAAAGGCACCGGCTGCTCCATAGAAAGAGCTTTGACAATTGTCTTCTTAATTGTGCTGAAAACGGGTTTACTTCTTTCCAGTAGGGATGCCCCTTAGCAAACTTGTATTTAATTATGTTGTACAAAATTTGATTTAATTGTACATTTATTTTCAGTTGGATGCCAGGTCAAGATTCAGAGGAAGAAAAGGATATTGATAACTTATGTTGAAACGAAGATGAATACAACAAGGATTTCCTCTGGTCATTAAAACACAGTAACCAAAGTTGGAAACATGTTTTTTCCTACACCTGTTTGGTTGGACCTGGAGCCCTGGAGAGAATGCATGATTTCTGTTTTTAGTATCTGTAATTAATTTTATTGTCCTGAGTTATTTTTAGAAGAAAAATGTAATTGACCAGTTATGAGCAAGGGAGCATAATAAATGCGTTTTAAAAATGGTTTTAAAACTATTTTAAAACCAGTTTTCTCAGTGGTTAGAGTGTCTGCCCGCAGACCAAAGGACCATGGGTTTGACCTTGGTCAAGAGGATAGACCTGGAAGGGGCACAGGTGGGAGGCAACCACTTGATGTGTGTGTGTGTGTGTCTCTCCCTCTCTTTCTCTCCCCCACCTCTCCCTTCTAGTCTCTGATAAGCAATGGAAAAAGTATCCTCAGGTGAGGATTAACCAAAAATAAAAAAGGAATTGTTTTAAAGCACAAAGATAGTTATTGTCAAACATGATTCAGCCAAATGACACACTTTGTACATCCTTTGTGAATATTCTGAAAGCCACTATTGGGAATGTTAAAATCAATAACATGGAGCCTGGGAGAAAATGTCTATTGTGAAAGTTTAGGATAAAACTGTCTTTTATTTAATCTGTCTTGTTTAGTTGTTATAGTAAGTTTAGTTAGTATAGGTTAGCATAAGCAAACTCCATTTTGTATTAGAGTGAATTTTAACTTTACTTAGAAGTGAAACTTGTGTGTGTGTGACCCTGGTAAGTACTTTGTAGCTCCCTGCATGTGCACTCCTGATAAGTACCTTGTAAACCCTGCGTGTGTATCCCGGTAAGCCAGAAGCCATCACCGGAGCACAGATATGAGACACTGAAGAAGCCCACCCATCTATTAATTCCATAAACCTTTTTGAGTAGCTCCTTTGCAACAGTCATTACATTTGCTGTTTTGGACACAGTAACATGCTGGACAAAATTAAAGGTAAGTTAGCATGATGGATAGGATATACATGATATAATGATCATATATATTAAAAATTGTGTGTCGTAAAGTATTTTCCTAAAAGGGCCACTCATTCTGTGGAGAGAAATCACCACAGAGAAAGGCCTTGGAGAAATGAGGCTGAGTGATGGTGGTCCATATCAGAGAGAACGCGGACATGCACCTGGGCCGTGTGCATGGAGTTATGGGTGGGTTGAAGGGATACAGATCTTAGTGGCTGCTGGGATGTGTTGGGCAAGGGAGAAGATGACCCCAGGGTGGAAGGCGGGGTCATTTATCAGGAAGGCTCAGCCTGCGTGGAGGAGGATGCAGAAGTTTGGTGTTGACAGACTGTTGGAGACACTCATGTACAATAGGATGTGTTTGGATCTGGACTCAGGCTCAGGGGGACCTAGAAATCTGGGAGTCATAAGCAAATAATTGGTCATATATTCCATAGGAAGAGATAAGGCTTTTTGAGAAAAGCATTCAAGTGAGAAGAAATTTAAGGACAGAAACCTAGGGAATACCGTAATGTTAGCGTGGGTGGAGGATGACAAGCAAATCAGTGAGAAGGGAGGGATGGTAAGCCGTAGACCACCAGGAGGGAGACACAGAGCCAAGGGATGGTGAGTGTAGGGAGCAAGAAGCCATGGAATGCTGTTTCTACATCCATCTCGCTGATAGAGATGTCCTGTCCTAGCCAGTTGGTGGATAGAGCGGCGGCCGGTGGACCAAAGGTTCGATTCCAGTCAAGGGCACGTACCTCGGTTGCAGGCTCCTCCCTGGCCTGAGCCCTGATTGGGGCTTGTGCAGGAGGCAACCGATCGATGTGTTTCTCTCACATTGATGTTTCTGTCTTTCCTGCTCTCTTCCACTCTTCCTAAAAATCAATGGAAAAATATCCTCAGGTGAGGATTAACAAAAAAAAAAAAGTCGTCTTCTTCACTGTGGAAGTTCTCACTGTCTCAGCTTTCCTTCCCTTTGTTACATGATACAACAGCGTGTCAGCACCATGAGGTCTGTGTTTGAATGCAGACCTGCCAAAAAGGCCCCTTGGGAGCCTGTGCAGGAAGGAATCCTGGCAAAGACAGTGCTGAGGCACAAAAGGAGTCGAGGGGAAGTTTGCAGTGTGACTGCCCTGTACCTCCATGCTCGGGTTTCTGTGTCACAGCCTGGGGAGTGATAGCTGTCATAACAACAGGCAGAGTTCCTGCCCATTTGCCAAATTTTAGCAGAGGATGGGGAGGGGCGTTCTCCCCACGGACAGGGACGGGTACGCCAACTCCCCTTCAGTAAAGTCAGGACTTGTTTTCAAAACAAGCACCAAAATGAAAAAGAAAAAGGCATGTTTGACCACATTCAAGTTTAAAACTTCTCTATCCCCGTATCGTAAAGCTAAAAGACAACTGACAGATTGGTTTTAAAACTTGGCAACATATGACAGATTGATATGCAGTATTGTATATTACAAACAATCCATAAAAACGACCACCACGCCAATGAAGTCACAAAGTAGAAATATAAATAGAAGTATAAATGATGTTCAGTTTTCACAATAATCAAAGACAGTGAACTTGAAACAAGATGCAATTTTTAACATCAGTAATAATAAAAGGAAAAGGCGCATGCTACAGGTGGGAAGCCTAACTTTCTGGGAATAATACAGGCAAACCTCATTTTACTGGGCTTCCCAGATACTGTGTTTTTACAAACTGAAGGCAAGACCTTCCACCAGCAAAAAGATGATGACTTGCTGAAGGCCCAGATGATGGTCAGCATTTTTAAATAATAAAGTAATTTTTAATTAAGGTAAATAACTGGTTTTTTTAGACATAATGCTATTGCACACTTAATGGATTATAGTAGAGTGTGCACATTTATATACAGTGGTAAACCATAACATTAGTGTGACATGCTGGTGATAGTCACTTTATTGTGGTGGTCTGGGACCCAAACCGCCATATCTCCGAGGTAAGCCTGTAGGAAAAATTCAAAAATTTAAAAACATTTACACTGTCCTTTAATTGTACATTTCTACTGTCAGGAATTTATCCAAGGGAAGTCACTGGGGACGTGTCTAAAAAAAGGCACAAGATGTAATCTGGTTATAAGGAACAATCAAACCATTAATGAAACATCTTAGCAAGTGATGCAGCAGATCAACAGGCACCCAGAGAAGATGTGACCCATATCAATGGACGTGGCCAGGAACATCTAACATGTACTCAGCCACGGCGCCTCACAACTGGGCGCCTCACAACTGCCTTGTGAAGAACGGACTGTTGTGTCCATACTTTCCACACGAGGAAGCAGCCAAGGAGTGACAACAGGATTGGTACCTGGGGCTGTGTGAAGTGGACGTCCATGCTCTTAGTCCCACCCTCCTATACCCCTTCACTTCCAATTGAGTGAGGACGGTCATAAAACAATTCTCTCATGGGCCCGTTTACAAACACCCAAGCACGCAATGCAACGCCCATTAATAATCGTCCAGTTAGATGCCGGCCAGAGAACCCGTCCTAATGCAACAGAATGAGCCAGGCAAGACCAAGTTTAATGTTCTCGTCAGTTATTTATTATCCTTCTAAAGACTAGCACATTTATAGCATACATGGCTTTGAATGAGCTAAGAATATATAAAACAGTACATGTTCATATATAGTAATACTGGCCAAAACAAATAAATAAAGGTACTTCCGTGCACGAAGCTTGGCAAATACAACTGCAGGACGAAACTACTGCACGGTACTTGTGTGTTTCAGAGGGAACCAAAGGCAGCTGCTGAGGTGCGCCGACACCCACAGCGCCCGGTCTTCAGGCCTCCGTGCTCGTTCAGTGGCCGAGAAGGCACACTGGGCGGGACCTCTACGTTGTGGTGCCGGGAAGACTGCCTTCCTGTGCACCTGGGCACTCCAAGCTCCTTCACGTCCCAGGCGCTGCCAGCACCACCACAACTGGCCTTGCTCAGCGAGCGAGCCTGGTAAGTGTGCGGCGGGAGCCCTGGGAGGCTGGCCGCACGGGAGCCGCAGGGCTCAGATGGGATTCTGGAGCCTGAGCGTTTCCTACGTGATTAGCCAAGTCTTAGAGTTTTATGATGTGCATAATATGAAGCCAAAATTGGAAAATAATTCACAAAAAAGGTGCCCCATGCAAAACTGCTAACAGTTGACTCAACATTTGCTATGTTCCCTTTTGATAAATGCAGGTATTTAATGCTCTTCAAACAATAACAACAAAAATATGGGTGGCATTTAAGAAGACAAGGGAATATTTTAAAAGGTAGTGATGATAAAATAAAAAAAGATGAAAATATAAAAGATACTAGAAAAATTACAAAATGGGTGAAGTGGTGGGAGGTGAAAGGCTGAGTCAGCCATATTGGAAACAACAGGGATGGGCCCAGAGGGGATGGGCCCCCTCTGCAGGGGGCGTGGTGGACGCGGGTTTCTCTGACAGCGACATGAGCTGCAGCCGTCCCTCATGGACGCGTCCTCCACACCAGGCCCCATGCAACCCGTGGGAACGTCCCCTCCGTGGGCCTCAGGAGACGGCAAGCGCTGCCTGCGCACTGGCTTCCGCGTGGGCAGGGATCTGGAAGGCCATCGAGTGGCACCCTCCCTGCTGTTCACCCCTGTGTCCTGCCATGGGCAGTCTTGCCTGTGCCTCAGCTCCCCAGGCCCAAGTTTGTTACATGTTTCCAAGTGGCATTTCTAAAGGAGCCTGAAGAATAGTTCCCAGAATCTTAGACACAGGGATTTCCTAAGGATGCACCAATCATTAGGATCAACATCTTCAATGTGCCACATATATTTCTTTTACAGCCTTTTAAATAACATATGAACATAATCATCACAATAAACAATTGATAAAACATATAAACTGAGGAAAAAACTCTGCTATGTGCAGATAAGACTCATCATCTTATAATAGATGACCAGACATCATTTTCTATGAAATCCCTGTTTTATGGCCCATTAATCCCTTTCAACATCTCATTTTCAGAGCTAATTTCAACTTTCTCAATAGTCACGTTACATAACAGAATGAGAAGATAGTAACAATTATTGCAAACTTAAAAGACACTTTCATCAGACCTTCAAACATGATTGTATTGATTTTTAGAAGACAATTGGGAAATCCACAAAAGGAAGTCTGTTCTGGAAAGATTTAGGCTTCCACTGTCTACACATAAATCCCCACTGCCAAGAGGTCCTGGAGCGCCCGGGAAGGGGGCCTGCACACGGGCAGGGTGGGGCCAGGGTGTAGGTTGAGAGGACAGGCAGGCAGCAGGCTTCCTGTTCCCCAGCACTCACCGTTCCAGAACTCAAAGGAACAGAGTGGCCCCCACTGTGTGAGTGGCTCTGCAGGGGTTACCTACCCATAAAGTCTGTCTGGGCTGTTTCTCAGCCTGCGCTCTGGCCCTGCCTGTGCCCTCACAGGATAATTCAGTAGAACCACCTGCTTTCACTGCCTGAGCCAGAGCTAGCCTCTCCCCAAAACTTGAATTAACATAAAACACTTATTGGTCTGTCCAGGATCCAACTGTTTACTATTTACTGTTTTACATTCAGATTTTTTAGAAGTAGATTGTAATTCGATGCTCAGTTTTGAGTTACTTAGTAGAAAAATAAGTGAGCAGCTGCCTAAGTGGGCATTTAAAAAGTCTTAGCATCTCAGACCTACAGGTGACTATCATGACATCTATCTGAGGTTCTGGCTGCAGGCGGTTTAAATGGGCAGTTGTTACTATCCACACTATTGAGCCAACATTACCTCCTACTAATTCCAATCGAATAAAAAACATGCTTCATAGACTCCTTAGTGAAATATTTTTTAAAAAACACAAAAGTAAAAACCAGTCCTTCAGGTCTTGGTGAAGAACTCGTGTGTGACACTAGAGGGTCCCCACATTTGTTATATGACAGCTAGAGAGGACACCGTGTGTTCAAGTTTCAACCTTGCCGTAAGTCCCTTCGGGAGGCCTGTAATGCTTGGGGAAAGCCTTCAGCTGCAGGGAATTAAATGCATATTTGCGACTTCCAACATTCTTCATTGTATTTTCTCTTCGACAACCCTCACTGGGGAAAAAAACAAGCACAAGAAATGACAGCAGTAAAAAAGGAAAAAAAGAAGACTTAAACTAAGATGAAATGAACTGATTATTTTTATAGCATTAAAAAAAAGGTTAATTTAAATGGGTGCCAGACTATTTGCAACAATACACACGTAAGATGGTTTCTGAACGAGGCAGTTAAGAAGCACAGCGATGGGCGCGTGTGTGGGGCTGAGTTTTGCATGTGCGGAAGCAGCACTGTAGGTGGAAGCAAACGTTTTTTAAAGTTAATGGTTTCATGTGTTTCACGTCTAGGTATTTCATGGTTCTGTGGTGGGTCAAAGATTCTGTTACATGACAAATTAAATGTAAAAGAAGTAGTGGGACTCTTACCAAAGCCTTTAAGAAGTTGCATCTTTCTATGTTAGCAAAGCCACGTGACTGAGAAGGCTGTTCTACCGGCTGTCCCCCAAGTGCAAAGCCTTCAGTCCAGTGGGCCCAGGTGACGGCTGCCTGGAGGGTCTGAATGGCTATCAGGGCTGGAGTGTCGTGAAGGAGGGACCCCGCCGTGTTCCCTGGTGGTAGCCGGCCACCTTCTCCAGGTGGGCTGCCCTCAGGGTGGCCGCCTTTCAGAAGAGCCAGTGAGAGCCCACAGGTGCCCTTTCATAGAGAAATGGTGCTGCATTTGGGGGAGGTTGTCGTGGTAACCGAGTGCGCAAAGCAAATGCAGAGCAAGAGGATGAGGTGCGCAGGCAGGCCTCATGGACCTGCAGGACAGCATCAGGGGAGTTCTCTGGAAAGTGTGCATCAAATTCACAGGTAAAAGCAATTCTGAATATAAATGACTTTCTATTGCATGGTCTAACTACTTTTATATTTTCTAAGACTAGCAATTAAATCAGCTAGTTATCAAATTTAGTACAAAACTCCCTCCTATGAAATGTAAAATTTGCAGTTACCAAGAAACAGTGATTTAAAAAAATATTTCCAATCGTATCAACACCATTATATCATGCATTTTAAAAAAGATGTTATTGGAAAGTGCTTGGGCCTTTTAAAGTGAAAATGACACTCTCATTTTCAAGAACATGTGAAATATTTTGGGTGAGACTGATTTTATGTACAAGCCAGGGTATTTCAGAAAAGTAGTCCCCTGCTTGTGAATAAGTAACTTAGTAACTCAAACATGCTTCCCTCGCCCCAGAGCCTTTAGGCCTCAGTGAGGTGTCACGGGTGTCCCAGGAGGCCCTAGAGGAAACGATGGCTGTGTTTGTCTACGTCCAATGATCAGGTAAGATTTAATTCCATGTCAACAGAAGCTTCAAGTTCTATGCCCATGGCACGTAGTCTCCATCCTTAGCGCTGCTGCGGAGGCAGGAGAGGCTCCCTCCACCTCTGAGCTCGCCAGCCCTGAGCCCGGCTTCTGGCTGAGTGGCGCTCCCACTGTGGGAGCGCACTGACCACCAAGGGTTGAGTGTCTGCCCCCTGGTGGTCAGTGCACATCATAGCGACCGGTCATTCCGCCGTTCAGTCGATTTGCATATTAGCCTTTTATTATACAGAATATGCATACTTCTCAGAAGCCAACCATCAGAATCAATGCCAAATTGCTTTGAAGGGGCAAAGAATAATTTGGGAACTTTGACATTATCTTTTATTTATATGTTAAAGAAGCTAATTACTGGCTTAACTGGCTGAATGGATTATAGCATAAACTTTTGGAGAACATCCATTTTAAATGAAAAATCAGAATGGAACCGAGAAACAGCTCTGGTCTCCCCTCCTGTGGGCTCTACCTCTCAGAACGCAGTGGGTGCCTCAGTGTCTCAGGGACCTGACATGGCCAGTGGCCAGGCCTCAGCGCTCGCCTCACCTTAGAAGCAACCTGGAAACCAGCACCAAGCCTCAGCGATGCCCCTTTCCTGAACCACCTTCCCATTTGTTTCATCCTGCCTACTTCTCACTAAAGCAGGAGAGATCTGGATAGATGTTAGCCTGATTTCATGAGTAAAAGGCCTTCGTGAGATTAAAACTCAGCATGAAGGGTGGGCACACCGAGTCTCAGCTGTTCTCCTAAAAACCAACAAGCCACAGCCTAGGCTGATGGTGTCCTCCCTCATGCTGGCCCTCTCCCCCTACCATGCCCATCCTCCACCTAATGCCCAACCCACCGCAGCAGGAAGCAGCCAGGAGCCCCCCTTGCCTCCAGGCTTCTGCTGCTGGCATGGCCCCCTGCCTGCCGTGGGCCCCAGGGAGTCAATGGAGCCAGAGGGATCAAGGAGGCCCAGGGAAGAGGCGGGCGGGCTGTCTACAGTCAGAGGTGGGCGCCAGGGCGCGTCACCCCAGGGGCATGGGGATCTGCCCAGAGCCGTGCCTGGGGGGCTGTGTGTGGGCTCTACTTTCCTGCCTCCACATAAAGTGAACAAGAGTCATGTACACCGCAAGCAGGAGAGCAAGTGGGCAAGGTCCTTCTCAAAGACTCAGACCCTGGGGACCAGGGTCACGTGCCCAGCCACTCCCTGGGCACTCGGAGACCCCTGAGGGATGCAGGAACTGTGCCACAGCACGGCCACACATTTGTTCCAAAAAAGGCAGTGTAACCCCTTGCCCTTGCCCACAGGGTGCCCCGGCCCCGGAGCTGCCACAGTGCTCCAGGCCTGGGAAAGGTGCGCAGGCCTGTGAGGAGAACGTCTCCCTCGGTTCGTGAATCAAAGTCTCCATCCGCATTCGTTACTCGCTGTTAACTGCTTCTGGGACTCCTAGGACCCAGATGCAGGTCTGATGCCAAAACAGAGAAACCCCAGGATAAGTTCTGGAAGTCTGGGAGGCGGAATGGAGAGGCCAGATTCTGTGGGGACTGGGTTTGTGTGCATGTGTGAGTGCCAAGTTTCTGGAAAAGCCAGCTTCTCTAAATTCACTCGTTTTTCTAGAATGGTAAAAAACCAAAAAACATTTTCATAAAAGACAGTGTGTGGAGCCAGCTAGAGGTCAAGACCAGATCACAACCCCATCTGAGCTGGAAGACAGAGCCGCTGGGCGTTCCGCCTGCAGGGCCCGTGGGACGCTCCCCAGTTCCTTCTGTCACCATCACGGTGTACAGCTCCTTCTGCCAAACGCGGGTGTTAAGTCACCCCAGCTATGGACAGGGCCTTCTTAAAATTAGGAGCGATAATAGCAGAGACCAGAGTAACTCCTCTCGCTCACAGCTCCATCCGGCACAACTGCCCAACAGGCAAGCCTCATTTATGGGTCATTTTTCTTTGACATTTGGTTTTTTCATTATTAACTACATTTGATTTCTGGAGAGAAAAGATGTCTGGACTTTAATCCAAATTCAAAGCTCTTTAAAATGAAGAATGCTACTTCAAGAAAAATAAACATGTATAACTTTAACAGCCTTTCATTACTCTATGCATTAATTCCCGTAATCGCTTTAACGGCCCTTAAGGATGTAGAAGAGTACATCGAAAGCCACATGCGATGTTATTTTATGTGCCTCACTTGGTACAATGTGCTACTGTGTTCACAGCTTCTGTCATCTCACACTGGAAATAATAAACATGAGCAAGGAAATGTGATGATTCTGCACACTGTTTGCTACTGTAACTTAAGGGGCTGCGCTTTGAAATGAAAGCAGGAAGGCCAGGTCCCATCAAAGAGGCTCACACAGCGGAGCCAGTTACAAAGCATCGGCCGTCCTCATTTCTCTTCCAAAGGAAAGGGAAGGTCAGCGCACATTTAAGGAATAGTATCAAATATACAAACTCTTTTCAGACAGAATTCCTTTCTCTTGGAAACAGGGCATGTGAGAGATACAGGTAACAAATAGCTTTACATCAGAAAGTAAGAGATTAGGTACAAGGGATTCCAGGCCAGCTACACAATGCAGTCACAGGGCACTGTGAGAACATGTTACAAGCACTGAAAACTATAGAATTTGAACAAACAAGTCCTCTTGGTGAAATATTCGGCAGGTATTTACAGTTCAAAACAACAAAGGGCAAACGGTAAGGCATGAGCTCTCTCTTGGCAGACCCGCTCTGACACATCCCTCTGTCCAGGTAGGTGCCCGGTGGTGGGACATACTCTGGCACTTGTGTTTTCTGGTGACTAATTTTTCATAATGTCATTCATTTGCAACGCAATTTGGCCACCAGGTACGCTATGCTCAGAAAGAGCCACACAATCAGTAAATTGGGGCTCAGCGCTAACAGCGGGATGGAACAGAGGAGGCTGGGGTCTAGTCTTAAGTCTCGGATGGGCACCAGGCCGCTCAAGTTCTTCTGGGTGACTACCTCCCGTGTTCCAATGCTGTGAAAAGGAAAAGGTTTGGGAGAAAGGAAAAGAAAAAGGAAAAAGAAATAAGGAAAAAAGAGAGACACATGCAATGGATTTTATCAAAATTATGGGAAAAAGAGGAGAACCAAAAGATAAAATTTTAAAAAAAGGGATGAAACCACAACAGAAAAGGGTGTGACAGGAATACCAAAACAAAACCAGCACAGTTACAAGAAAAAGGAGAGAAAGAGAAGTGGAAATAAGAAAAAGTCCTGTAGTCTACCGAACACACACAAGTAGGCGGGCGGAATGGTTTTCCATGTTCACGCTCTCAGCTGCCCACGCACATGCGGCCTGCCATGCGCTCACATGCTGCGAAGACACGGACCTCAAATAGCAAGCTGAGCATGAAGAACCATTGGGTGACCTTCCCACAGGTGCCTGAGCGGCGGGGCAGCTGAGCTTGCCCACACTGCCTCTTGATGAGCAGATCAAACAAAGACCACTTACCTCACCTGTCAACCGCAGGCGGAGCCCCCGCCAGTCAGGCTGAGCAGTGGCAGGCAAGAGCTACTAGTGGCTCCAGCTTTTCAAGTTACTGTCCCCAAGAATGGCATCCAACCCAGCTTCCCTGGAAATTTGGGTTCCCCGCTTTGGGTGCTTCAGGAGAAATGCCTGAGGTGAGAGGCAGCCAGAACCACAGGACTCTGGGACCATGTGCCCTATGCATGGCCACCAAGGTGGCAAGAGTGACAGAGCCCGCGGGCTGGGACACAGTAGCGGCCCCCAAGGACCCACTGGGAGAGGGATGGGCCAGACGTCCTGGGCTTGCCCAGAGGAAGCGGAAGCCTGGCTGGCCCTGCTGGGATGTGCCGCTCTGACAGGGACACTTTTGGGGCTGCGGGCACTCGAGGATGGTCCCCCAGCCTGGGCAGTCGGGGCATCTCTGTGGCTACGTAGGAGGCCCACTCTGAGGGCTGCAGCGGCACTGGAGGCAGAGGGACCACCAGCAATGTACACCTCTCTCCCCACCGCCTGGCCCAAGGAGTCCCCCGATAGCTTGAATATTGATGCCCCCCAATTGGGCAAATTTTGAGAGAGCTGGCTGTTCACATTTGTAGCATGGCACTGCCACTGCCCACCCTGGGCCTCCAGGAGGTGCCCGCCCACTCCCCACCACCCACGCCTGGCCTGCACGCTGTCCTCTCCCACCTGGTCCAATACAAGGGAGAAAGCAGGAGACCTGAAACCCACTCCTTCACTCGGGAGCATGGCCACTGCTGCCTGCTGCCTGCACAGGGCTCTCAGCTGAGCCCAGGCCTGGCCACCACTGTAGCCAGAAATAGTGGCTGAGGACTCAGTCCCCTTGGGCTGGTAGTGTGTGCACACATCTTCCCACCAGATAAAGCAGACACGGAAGCCACCTTAAAGCAAATGCGTGTGGCCACAGCCCGAGGTGCCACCAGGTCAGGTGGACAGGCAGCAGGTGCTGGTGCTGAGGATTCTGGGGTGAGCAGAGGCAAAACAGGATGGAATTTTGTTTTTACTAACTGCTTAAATGATTATTACGGTAATATATATGTTCACTGTAGAGATGTCAGAAAATTCAGAGAAACATAAACAAGAAACCTTAAGAAGACAAACATCATTGGAGGTGGGTGGGGTCAGAGAGGCAGGGAGGCCAGGGAATGGTGCCTGTCCCTCAGGAGGCCTTCCCTGGGGTCCTCACTGCAAGGAAAGAAAACAGGCCAACAGCAGTCGGGAGCGCCCAGAAGGGTGGCAGGAGTGGTAACACCCCCAGGGAGGGAGTCCGGCTGGTGTGGCAAGTCTGTCAATTTGGCTTAAAGCCTTTATAATCTAAGAAATCAACAGGAAAAATGTGGCTGGGAACACACAGAAGTATACTCACATAATTTAAAGTGCTCAAACGCCCCTAGCAGTGTGGTTAGTCACATGCGTACTGAGGGGTTGTGGGTTTGATTTCTGGTCAAGGACACATACCTGGGCTGCAGGTTAGATTCCTGGTCCTGGGGGGGGCGGGAGGCAACCAGCAATGTGTCTCTCACATCAATGTTTCTCTTCCCACTCCCTTTTACTCTCTAAAAATTAATGGAAAAAATATTCTTAGATGAGGATTAATAAAAAATAAGTAAAATAAAGTGCTCAAAACCATACACAGCTTAAATAGTCCATGACCTCATCAATTGGGTGAGTTATTCCATGCTAAAAATGATAAGGTCTATATTCATTTACCTGGAAAATGCTCACAAGGTAGTTAAATGAAAAAGCAGGCTAAGCCCGGCCGGCGCGGCTCAGGGGTTGAGCGTCCGCCTATGACCCAGGAGGTCACGGCTCAATTCCCGGCCAGGGCACATGCCTGGGTTGTTGTCTCGAGCCCCAGTGTGGGACGTGCAGGAGGCAGCTGATCAATGAGTCTCTCTCATCACTGATGTTTCTATCTCTCTCCCTCTCCTTCCTCTCTGAAATCAATAAAAATATTTTTAAAAAATAATAAACAGCAGGCTAAAACAAAAGGTAGAATTGCACATATAATTGTATTTGTGTGTTTTGTTTTCTGTATTATTCAGGGGCTGGTTAACCAATGTGTGAATTAACTACACTCACACCTGTATGTATGCATGCATGTATGGAGGTAGGTATGTATGAAAGAATATGTACCAAATGTTAGCACTGTTACTTGTTAGTAGTAGGAATATGGAAATTTTTTTGGTGTGTGAACAACCTCTACTCTAACTTTCCTATAAGGAATATTGACTCATCATGGGACAGGAAGTAAACAGTGCTTTGTGTGTTGTGAACTGTTACACTAGCTGTGCACCTGCACCGCCGGCGGGCCAGTCCCTGTCTCTCGGGAGGCCACTCCCCCTGGCCTCCAGAGGCCTCTGTGCTCAGATGCAGCCAGAAGGAGTTCTTGTTTCTCTGGCTAACACCGGGCAGAGGTCTGCGTAGCGACTGCTCACCGGGCTCAGGCTGGTCTACCAAACGGTGTGTGCTCTGTGCTGCGGAGTCAGCTCCGACTGCCGGTGACCCCAGGGTGAGTGACGTCCTGAGCGTCCTGTGTCACGCCCTGCTCAACCCTGCAGGCTCAGCCCACGGCTCCTTAAGGAGCCGATCCTTCCCTTGCTGGGCCTTCTCCTCCTGCTGCCTTCTGCTTCCCGGCATTACTGCTTTTCCAAGGAAGCCCGCCTCTCACGATGTGTCCGTTTAGTTGTTCTGCCTGCAGTGATGTTTCAGGCTTCACTTGCTCCTGAATGGACCTGCTCCTAATATTCGCCCCGACAACCGCAGGCACCCCCTCCACTGCTCCTAATATTCGCCCCAACAACCGCAGGCACCCCCTCCACTGCTCCTAATATTCGCCCCGACAACCGCAAGCACCCCCTCCACTGCTCCTGCTCCTTTGCTGGCTGAGGTCTGCATGTCAGCAGACTGGCCTCCCACCAGCCCTCAGGTGCCAGGACACAGATGTGGCTGGAAGCACCAGGACCTGGGCCTGAGGCCTGAGCTGGTCAGGGACGGGCAGAGCCTCCAGCCTCCCAAGGCTCAGGGCAGGGAGGTGTGTTCTGAGATGGCAGAGGGGTGCAGAGGAGATTGGAAAGCAGAACAGGAACAGAACAATTTCACTTTTACAAGGTGCTGTTATCAAGAGGCAGGGCTCAGGCATGGCACTTGTGCATCGCTGTGAGAAGGTCAAAGGGCAGAAACATACAGAAAGGATAAGAGAATTGAACACTTTAAGGAACTTGGTGAGAGGACAGATGGCACAGACATTCGGTGGAAGTGACAGCAGGAAACGAGAATGACAGCATTGGGGACCTCAGCGAAGGAGACGGACCAGGTTTCTTATCCTTTCTTTGGTATGTGCGGTGTGCACTCCCCGGCATCGGTTGGCAGCAGGCAGCCTTTAGTGCCAGTCTCACCCTGCAAACACGCTGCTGCCTCGGAATCAGAGCACCGTTAGGGCGAGGCCGCCACGGCCCCGGGCAGGCAGGGCTGCCACTACCACAGAGCACTCATCTGACACTTTGCTCAAAAAAGCAAACTGTGTCGACTGCCAGAGAAGCGGAGCAGACCAGTGCCACCTGCAGACAGCTCTTGTCGCTCACGTGAGCAAGGAGACACGCTGCTGTGGCGGCAGGTGCATGCTGAGCACTCTGCTCTAACTCACACCCAGCAAGCAGGTGCTGGGATGCCATGGGCCAGAGGCCTTCCCTGGCTCCCCGACCCGAGCTGCGTCTCCCCGTGTCGGTGCAGTCCTGCTCTAGGCTGCTAGCTCGTTACACTCCCTTGGCTGAAAGGAGAGCGCTGTCTCCATTTGAGAGCGCCAGTAGTTTGACTTCGTAGACGCTAGTGAATTTTCCAAAGTCAAACCAGAGCATGACGCTGGAGCGAGGGGGCTGTGCCGGGGAGCGGGGGCGGCAGCGGGCGCGGCAGGCACGCACTCACCTGCGCATGCACTCCAGGGCCTGGGTGAAGACCTGCGGGGCCATGCCGTGCTCGTGCTGCAGGATCAGGCACTGCTCCAGCGTCACCGACATGGCTGTGCGGTCCTTGGCGCTCTTGCAGCTGGTGAACCGGACCCCGTTAAGACGGCGGCAGATCTGCCCACAGGAAAACAAGCCACGCTTAGAGGGAGACTCTGCGGAACTAGAGGCCCCACATGGGACAGAGGCCCCAAGGCCCCAGCGAGGATGTGGCCACAGCTCCACCCCAGGCCCAGCCACGCCCTCTGCACCTGCTCCCGTGATGGAGAAAGGCATTGCCATGGCACCTCCGCCCCCCGGCTGCCCTGGGGCACCTGCTCCCACAGGAGGCGCCTTCCCAGCCAGGCCCCCTCGCTTTCGGAGGTGACCCTCTGTCCGTGCCCTTCCGGCTAGTCTCTTCCAAGTCCGACACCACCATCCCTCACCCTTGGGTACGGGCCCGCAGAGGACACGGGAGGAGCAGCAAGGACCAGCTCTCCCCTCCCCTCCCCTCCTCTCCCACACAGATGGGGGCCTGTTCACAACACTGCCCGAGAGCCACCTGCTGACCACAGGCCCCAGGCCTTTCCCATCCTCCCCTCGCTCGGGGCCTGGTGCAGGACGAGGCCTATGTGCTTCTTCACGCGTGAGGGGCTCCCGTGGGCCCCTCCGGGCTAGGAAAGGAACACTCAGGGCGTCCCTCGCCCCCCGGAAGGATGTATTGGGTCACTTCCTCTGCATCACTAGGTACCATTCTCGGGACACAGTCCCCAAATCCAGAAAGCCTTAAAACAGAAGGGTAAGTCTGTGGCAACCTCATTTGGCAGCACACTCAGATCTGAGCTCGTGTAAGCCCACTGACCATCTTTATTTATGCCACTTTGTATAAATAGTCATACTTTTTAGTGAAGCAACATTAATCACGTACGTGCACCATGTGACACGTGTATGCACCAACTGTATACCATGTCACTTCTAAGATAAGGGCACCTGGCAATTCCAGACCACCTGGCCACAGACTCCAGGCAAGGGTCCGTGACTGGGACCAGATACCACATGTGAGAACAACAGTGGCATTGAAAGCGAAATCCTCCACACTGGATGATGCTGGGCTTGTGACCCGCTGACTCCAGAAAGATCCCAGACCCCCTGCAGGGTTGCCCTGAGGGTGGCCCCAGACGGCTTCCCAGGCCAGTAGAGCCCGAGCCATGGCCGCCCCTGGGAGGCACCGGCAGAGAGCACAGTGTGGTCTGATCACTGTGTCCAAGAAAAGACGGCATGGAAAAGGTCAAACCACCAGCAAGAGGCAGGCTTCTTCTGAAAACAGACAGAACTTTTCAAAAGAAAGAAGACGGCCCTAAGTAGCCCCTGAGCCTGGTGAAGAAAGATTTCATTCGGATTTGTAAACGTGTAACTGACAAACCAGGGTAACGGTGGACACGCTCATTTAATTCACAAGCTGCAGAGTTCATGACCCAGACATGGCACAGCTGGAGTCCAGGGCTAACCGACAGAGTCCAGGGCTAACCTGACGTCCGCAGGAAGGTGGGGCCAATGTGCACCTCTGTCCAGGAGGGCACAGTCTGAGTGCCAGGCTCGTCTTGGGGCCATCAGCCACCTGAGGCTCTGGCTGGCCCTGCCACCCGGAAGTGAGGGATTGGACCCGGCTGATGATATCCCCGACAGCTGGCCAGGAAACCCCTGCTCATACACAAATGAAAATAAATAAGATCTAAGCCCTGGCCAGGTAGCTCAGCGTGTTAGAGGATTGTCCTGATTGCAGGTTTGATCCCTAGTCAGGGCACATACAAGAGTCAACCAATGAATGCATAAATAAGTTGAACAGTACATCAATGTTTCTTTCTCTCTCAAAAATCAATCAATCAATAATATCTACACTAATAAAAGAGAAACAAATAAATAAGATCTGCCCTGGCCAGGTAGCTCAGCGTGTTAGAGGATTGTCCTGATTGCAGGTTTGATCCCTAGTCAGGGCACATACAAGAGTCAACCAATGAATGCATAAATAAGTTGAACAGTACATCAATGTTTCTTTCTCTC